AGTAAAATGAGGAAGGTGAGTCTTATCAACCCAATTTAAATACAAAATTAGTACATAACAATTAAAGAAAAAAAAGAATGAAATAATAGATTTTCCTAATATAGACTAGTATAAATTATAAAGGGAATTCATTGTTATTTCTTCATATGATTGAGATTTGATGCTCTGTCTAGTTCTATTTGTTTGTATTATTTTTCTTTATAATTTGTTTGAAAATGAATATTCTTTTAGAAATTTTTAATTCGAACTTTTCATATGATCACACATTTAAAATCATAAAATCAAATAATTTGATATACATTTTATTTTATAATTGGGAAAATGGACAAATATACCTCCGAACTTTCGAAAATGGTATGTCAATATCCTCCGTCATACTTTTTGTCCATCAGAGCCCCTGTCATTCAATAATCAGTGCACATTTGCCCCTCCCACCAACGGGAGAATAATTAGTGACATGTGGCGCAGTCCTACGGCTCAATCCGATTTGACCAATTAATAATCCAAATTTTAAATACCCGCCCAATGACACGTTTAACCCACCCAATACCCCCATTACCCACACAAATACTAACTTATTACTCATATAAATTACTCATATTCGCCACAGAATTCCATGAAAAATTTCCTGTAAACCCACTGTTATTTGCATAAAAATGGGTTAAATCGGAAATGACCTAGTAAATTCATTATTACCAACATCCAAGTAATTCAAGCTAACACACTTGTTCAAATCATTAGTAACTTGCCCAGAAAATGAATTGTAACCCAAAGAGAGCTTTTTCAATGAGTTAAGTGAACAATAAACCCAAAAATTCTTTAACTCGAAAGCTCGATTTCTAATTTTCTATGACTGACCCATCGAAATTGCAAGTGATGTAGTGAACTTACTGAGAGGAGTATTGGGTTCCCAATTTTTGAATACATTGATGGTGGGCTTTGATAAAGAGGATTTGATGGATAGAAGTGTTTGAAGCTCGTTGGAAAAAGCAACGGGAAGAGAAGGAATAAGAGAAAATAGAGAAGAAGAAGATAATGGGCGGGTTTTTAGGATTTGGGTTAAAAGATTCGTCAAATCGGGTTGAGCCATAGGATTACGCCACGTGTCACAAATTATTTTTCCGTTAGTGGGAGGGGCAAATGTGCACTAATTATTGGACGGCAAGGGCTCTAATGGACGAAAAATATGACGAAAGGTATTGACATACCATTTTTGAAAGTTCGGGGGTATATTTGTCCCTTTTCCCTTTGCAATTTGATATACATATTTTTAAGGAAAAAAGGACAAATATACCCCTCGAACTATTGTAAATGGTATGCAGATATCCTCCGTCATACTTTTGGGACATTGGTGCCCCTGCCGTCCAAGAACTAAGACATATATGCCCTTCACTCTAACAGAAGACTAAATAGGGACACATGGCTCAATCTTATCCGTCGATATGATATTTAATAAATGTCGGGTCGGTAGATAAGATTATGACACGTGTATGTCCGTTAGTATAAAGGGTATATATGCTCTAGTTTTTGGACAGCAGGGGCACCAATATCTCAAAAGTATGACGAAAGATATCTACATACTATTTACGATAGTTCAAGAGTATACTTATCCTTTTTCTCATTTTTTAATTAAGATCACAAGATTCAAACTTCATTTATTTTTGAACCTCTATATCATGTTAATATCATATAACTTGAAAAAAGAGGGACCACAATTTATTTGAGAATATATGGACATCTAGGAAATGAAATTATTATATTAAAAAAAAGGTCAAACCAAAAAGTGTTATGTGACATTTTCCAAAACCCAATTGGGACAGGTTCCAAATATTTATTTATTTATCACACTACAAATATAATAAGATAAGTTTAAATCTAGGTTATATAAAATTCCATTTGTCTATATTCTTGTCTATTCAAGATACTAGTACAATGGCCAACACTATACTACCTACTAACCTTCTACCCTAATACGTGTCCTCCACACCTTTCTATGTAAGACCATGTCCTCGTTAATCTGAAGCTCCATCATATCATGTCTCATTACCTCTCCCGAGTACTTCTTTGGCCTACCTCTGTCTCTCCTTGTACCCTCTATTACCAACCTCTTGCACCTCCTCAATGGTGCGTCTACGCATCTTCTCTTCACATGTCCAAACTATCCCAGTCACGCTTTTCTCAACTTGTCCACCACGGAGGCCACTCCCACTTTGTTCTGAATATTCTTATTTTTAATCTTATCTCTCCTAGTATGACTACACATCCATCTCAATATCCTCATCTCCACAATATGCAACTTCTAGAATGAGTTAAATTTCTTAAATTTGACACTCTTGAACCTAATCTAAAATTATAAAAATAATAAAAGTGAAGTTATATATTATTCATTATGAGTCATGACGCTAGTAAATTGTAGAATTTAGTCATCCAATTATTCATATATCTATATATACTAGTAAAGAAAGTCCGGGCGCTGCCTGGACCCAACATTAATAAAGTTATATCGTTACTCTCTCCGTCTCATATTAGATGAGAATCTTACTAAAAATATTTTTTTCATATTATTTGAGCACTTATTAAATTATGATAGAATTAATTAATTCTTTTCCATTTTACCCCTACAATTAATATGACCATTTCTATATTGTATGTGTATTTTTTGTAACTCATTTCAATGTGCATTGATATAAACAAAGGGCAAAATGGTGAAGTCTTCCAATGTATTAATGATTTCTTAATCACCGTGTAAAGTTGGAAGTGCCCATCTAGTATGGGACGGAGGGAGTATAGTTTATGTATTGTTATAAAATTAGTAAAGATTGTTATAATATATTTTGCTCATAAGTGAGCTAATATAGAAACTTATTTGTCATTTGTCTTTTTAATTTCAATTTTAAATAGCAAATAAATGTAGCAATAAGATTGAGGGTAGAAATGAAGCATATCTTTCTAAATTTAAGTAAAAATAAACAGAGTAGAAGTAACATTAGGGTTATCGATAGGACGATTCATTTGGTTATTTAAAAAAAAATTATATCATTCAATTTTTTGGCTAGTTTATAATGTATAACCAAAATTAAAATTTTAAAATCATCCCAATCCTAATTTATGTGACACAAGCAGTACAAAAATTAGTCTTTTTTTTGTTGTCTTGTAGATATTTTAAGTTATTATTTATTGTAAATTATAGTACTTTTTATTAAAGTTTTTAATAACATATGTTACTTTTTATGTTTGAGAGTTAAACCAACTTTTTTTTATATGTCTTTTAATTTTATATGTGTTTTGTCCTTTTCCATTTTCAAAAACTAATACTCTCTCCATTTTATTTTATATGTCATTTCTTTTTATAAATATATTGGTTATTCCCTCATCTTATTGGAACACATGTTGACTTGTGGTGGTTGGTTATTCTCTCTTCTTATATAGTAATTTATTGGCATGTTGCATTATTTTCAAATAAGTGAATATTCAATGGGCAACTATCACCTAGCCATGTTAGCAATTGTAGCCACATTTGCAAGTTGCCAATTGTACCTATTTTATTATTTCCTTTTTGTAATAAAGAATTATTCAAGGATCAATATCAATATTATTCAAAATTCATATCATAATAAGTTTCCTGTTTACTTTTCCTACTTAAATATGTTTTCATCAAAGTCTTACAATTTTATTAGTCTGTATATAAACAAAATATAAACCTTGTATAATCAGCCGGGCAACACAATATTCCAATTAAATTGGATACATATATCGTAAAGTACATCTAAGTAAATAATTCTATGAATGAATGGATCAATTCGATTTTCATATATGTCGAATCAATGGGGTTGGGTATTTATAGTGACTTAGCAAAGGGGAAAGCCTTCAGACAAAAAATTAATATTGCTCGTAACCGAGATTTCTTGTTAAGGTTGAATGAATTATTCATCTGTCACATCCCTTTTGGCTGCTAGCTTTTGTATATTAAATTGTACTTCTTTGTCCATAGGTCCTAATATTTGGTACGAAGTAAAATGTTTTCTTGGAAAATAAATTAGTTTCAGGTTTGTTTTGTGAGTGAAAAATGTTTTCTAGTGTTTGATTGATGAACTAGAAAATATATTTTATCTTTTGCTAGAGAGTAGAAAATATCTGAATTGGGACTCCACCTAATATCCGACTAGGGACTTGATCTGACACCCAATGTGGGACCCGACCCTGATTCCTGACGTAGGATCCGACCTTGACTTTCGATTCGGGACTCAATATCGACAACCAATGTGGGACCCAACCCCGACCCCGACTCTCGATTCAAAATTTGACTTTTGAATCGAGATTCAACCCTGACATCCAACCTGGGATGCGACCCTATCTCTCGATCTGGAACTTGACTTCCAAACCGAGACCTGACCTCGACATCCAATTTGCGACTCGACTTCTAAATTGGATCTGACCCCGACACCCGGCCTCGACCCCGCGATTTATTCGGGATCCAAACCTGACATCTAACCTAGAACCCGACCTTCACTCTTGATTCAAAACTCGACTCCAACATCCGACTCGAAAACCCAACCTCACACTTGACTCGAGACCAAATATGGGATCTAACTTTAAATCTTGAGTCGGGACCCAACACTCAAAACGAGATCCGATTTGATTCGGGAATCGGGAGTTGGGTCTCTAATCGAGGTCGGAAGTCGGGTCCCGAATCGAGAATTAGGAGTTCAATCCCGGATTAGTCTTGGAAATTGATACTCAAAACTTGAGTTAGGGTGAAGAGTTGAGGTATGAGGTTGAAAAAGAGTTTTGAAAAATGTTTTTTTTGTTTTTGTTTTGAGGCCAATCATTTTCCTTAAATTTGAGGAAAATAAGTTGATTTGAAAAACATTTAAGCAATAAAAAATAAGAAAATTGGAAAACATTTTGTGAGCATGAGGTGTTATTGTGCAACTTGATTTCTCTAGTCAACTTTAAAAGGTTTAAACTTGTACAATTCTTCTTCTTTTTTTCCCTCAAGAATGGCTGCTACATTTTCTTTCCTCTTTGTGACAATCTTGATCTTGGTTTTCCCCATTGTCGAAGGTCGAATTCTTGAACATGAAGGTTCAGAAATTAGTAGTGAAAGGATCTCAGATGGAGTTGAACACAAACTCAAGAATCAGTCAAATTATCTAAGTCTAGGCAACTTGAAGGAACTTCCTTCAGGGGATCAATGTAATCATATATATGGTTTTTTTCCATGTGCAGAGAATATTGGAGGGTACTTATTCATGATTGTCACATTTCAGTACTTGTTGATTCTTGGTGAGAAAGTATTGGCCATTGGAAGCAACAGGCTCTTTAGTATCCTTGACACTGGTATTTTTGGTGCAAGTATCTTTCCCACACTTATAACTTGGCCAAGAATTGTTATGGCCTTTGGTAACTACTCATCTAGTACTCAATTACCTTTTTAATAATCTTGGTGTCCGGGCACAGGGTATCAGGTCCATCAAAACTCGGACATATGACAAAAAATCACTTAGTGTTTTTGCTTAACAATTATATTCATACAATTTATGTAATATAGTATTATCCTATTTTTGTTCTTTTGCTCTATATCTCCTCAGTTAGTCCTTGCATACCCTTATCATTAGTAAATCATTTCGTATTTAGCCTTACCTCTAACATTATTCTAACATGAAATGGTTAGACTTCACGTGCCTAATTTCTATCCCTTGATCTTTTTACTATGGTTATATATTACGCTTAGATTAGAGCTCCATTAGCGGTGAAAAGTGAAAATGAGAATTTAACCTAACGTCTCGGGTAAAATTAGACCAAAAGTTTAAAGTAAGACAGAGTTGCTCAACTAACATAATAATGCTGTCAATGCAGAGAACATAAGCTCTTATTCATATACTGTCATCAAACAATCCTTTGTATGAAAATTCTAACTAGCCTTTGGTTTTTGCAGCATCTGGACTATTGGTTACTAGAGAGAAAGCTCAAGTATCAGTATCTTCTGCACTTGGTTCCAATGTTGGTTCTAGTGTTTTGAATCTTACTGTACTCTGGGGCATATGTGTTATACTTGGCAGACAAAATACCTCAACAAATTCAAATAGTGCAGAATCCTCCACTTCTACTTTGAAGTTGGAGGACTTGAAGGGTATGTTCATTTACCTTGAACTTAGGAAAAACAAAGATTTGAGAATCACACCTTTTTTTTTGGTACTTACAGGTAGAGGAGTCATAACAAACAATCTTACTGGTTATATAGCTGGAATCATGTTTCTCTCACTTGCACCATTCACAATAATGCTATTCGGCGATATCATCAGTTCATCTGTAGGAAAGCGCATTACCATTCTTGTTGCTCTTATTGTATCAGTCACATTTTTGCTGTCATATTTCACTTACCAGGTGAACAACAAACATCTTGATTCACCTACTAGCTTTAATGTTACATTTCTGTCATGTTAAAGTTTGTGTTTCTGATATGTGTAGATGTGGAATCCATTGATTCAACAAAAGAGTTTAGAGTACATAAAACACCAAAATCTGGTGCAAGTATTTGTGCAGCATATCCAAAGGCAAGCAAGAGGAAATCTCTTTAAAGGGGGTCATCCTGACATTAACGCGCTTAAAAGGTAGTAAGATTTTTCGACATCCTTATAATGAGTTAAATTATCCACTCTTACTCTTAAGTGATCTGCATATACAATGAAGACTTACAAGTTAATACTACTATGATTCATTTAAAGTAGAAGCATTTTGATGCTAAGTTAAGCAAGTAAGTCAAGATAACTTCATTTTGCAGATTATTTGCCAAAACAGACAGAGATAGGAGCCATTCAATAACAGTCACTGAACTAGAAGAACTGGTAAAACAGCTTGAATCTGGAAAGGTTAAAGTGGACAGTGACTTTGCCCTGTCAACACTGTCAAGAATATTCGATCAAAACAGAGATGGAAGGATAAATGAAGAAGAGTTCATTGAGGGATCCAAGAAGTTGATACAGGAAGCTAAGGACGATTCCACCTCGAAGAAATTTCTTGATGAGGCAAATTTTCTCCTCCTTTTGCTCTTTGTCACTAATATAGACTCTAGGGGCTGGTTTTGTAACCTAAAAGATCACCTTTACTTGGCAAAATTAGAAGAATGTTGATAGAAAGAAGCTGGAATATGATCATGATTAGTTTGAGCAAGTAAAATGATTTACTTTGCAACTGCATATATATGCAGGTGGTTAAGGCATACACAGAGGGACAAAAAAAAGATATAGTTAAGATTGAGGAGCTCATACCACGAGCTTTGAAGCAAATTCAGAAGCAAACAATTGAATCCGAAGGCCTTCGAAATGATGATGGTAGCCCCAACATCGAATCCATTAAAAGGTATACAATATTCATTCTCTCAAGTTTTGAACCATATTTTCTAAGAACTCAGAATCTTGATCTGTACATCCAGCTGAAGTCTGTCCCAAATGAGAGTTTTTCACAGGTTCCTAAGGATCAATATCTCACTAATCTTTATCATCTGATTGTGTTACAGGCTCTTCCATAAGTTAGATGATGATCATAACAGTTATTTAATACCGTCAGAACTGGAGAAGCTAACGGAAAATGTCAAATTCAGACAGGCACGCCTGAATCACAAAACCTCTGTAAAGGAAATCATGAAGGACTTCGATCAAAATGATGATCACATGATCGATGAAAATGAGTTTCTCCGTGGTGTGACATATTGGCTTCGTAATGCCAAACAAACTATTAAAGAACATCATGATAAGGTAAAATATATTCTGGCTAAATACTCCTATATGGTGTGTGATATATGTACTAGTAGAGGCAGGGTTTAGATTTTGAGTTTATGGGTTCTGAATTATAGAAAAGAAAAAAACAACTTACTGGTTCTGGATAAATTAAGCTATTGAGTTCTGCCAACCCTATTAGCAGAAATGTTTCCCATCCTTGTACTAGTTATTTTGACAGGTACGGTTTGTTGGAATTTATTTTCTACAGGTGATGTGGGGAGAAGTTGACAAGTTCTTGGATGAAGCAGAAAGAGGAAACCATAGACGTTTCAACCACTCTTTGGTGTTAAAATGGGACATCTGCAAGTCTGTGTTGCAAGTGATTTTGGGCATTGCTATATTGACACTGTGTGCAGATCCAATCATGGATAACATTATACGACTGGCGAGTGCAATTGGCGTGCCTTCTTTCTTCCTATCATTTGTCATAGTACCTTTGGCTATCAATGCAAGAACTGCAATAACAGCAATAACTTTACTATCATCAGCAAATCAGCAGAGTTGCACAACTTCTTCTTTGACATTTTCCGAGGTCTGCATATCTTTTCTCGCGAAAGTACTTACTTTCTTTCTTTGTAATTTTGTCTTAAGACTCTTGACAACTCTGTTCTTCAATTTGTTTTGACAAGCAGATCTATGTGGGGGTGATCATGAACAACATTATGGGGATGTCAACTGTGTTAACTGTATTATATGCCAAAGACTTGAGATGGGAGTACTCACCCGAAGTGTTGGTATCTATGGTGATATGTGCTGTAACTGGCTCTTTTGCATTCACCCGTACCACTTATCCACTTTGGACTTGTATTGTAGCTTTCTTGTTTTATCCTATAGCACTTGCACTACTTTATATTTTACAATAGTTACAATCTAATTATTCTTGTAATTAAAATCCTATATTCTACTCATTTATAGCTGCATATGTATGGTGGTGATGTTACTGCTTTACACTAATTACTATAATTTGGATTCATCAATCTCAGATTCTTTTATGCTTTTTTAGTATTTGCAATTTTTTAAGTTCTCTTTCTTTCAGCTTTTGTCCAAGATAACTCATAAGAACAGCAACAAGTGAGCAAAGGAGAACAAACCAATGCAGCTATCTCTAGTTAGTATTACCAAAAGAAGAGAAGAAAGAGTAAAAAAATGTGACATGTTACTCAATTGTTTGCAATATATAAGGAAGGGAATGAACAAAGATTCTTGAATTTATCATGCTTTTATTAATGTTGGATAAATCTTGCACCTGTGTTATAACCATCATCCACCTAGCAATGGACAGTCGATTATATGGAGATTGGCATTGTGGCTGTAGATTCCTTGAGGTATCGATGCCAAAACAGGACAGTCCTCTATATACAGTCTCTGAAGTGAGGAGCAATTCGGCAGCCACTCTGGAAGCTCCATCAGGTTGGGACAATCGGCGATTCTGAAGTACTTTAATGTTGTAGGAGCAGTATCTTTAAGTTCCAATGGTAGAGTCACCAACTTAGGAAGCCCCATTAGAAGCAAGGATTGAAGACTTGTTAGGCCTGACATTCCTTCTCCATCAATCAAATCAAGTTCTTCACAGTTCCAGATCCATAACTTTTCAAGTGAAGTCAGATATCTAATACTGCTTGGAAGAGAACATAAACTTGGGCATTCATAGATACGCAAAACCCGAAGTGCAGTAAAATGCTGCACCAGTTCTGGCTGCAATTTTGGGAAACAACATTTGAAAAGAAGCAAAAATTGAAGAGAAGTGAAAACATGTTGATTCTTGATCCCTGCTGATATCTGATGTGTAGTCAAATACAAGGTCTTCAGGCTGATTAACTTTCTAAAGTCTCTTGGCAACTCCTTAAGCTGCTCACAGTTAATGAGGTTTAGGGTGTGCAGATTTACTAATTTGCTCATAGACCTTGGAAGAGACTTGATATTACCACTGTTGCTAAGGTTAAGGTATCTTAATTCCTTCAAGTGACCTATCGAAGTTGGCAACTCCTCAAGATCTAGATTGTTCAAGACTAACATCCGAAGGCATTTGAAATTTGACAACATTGTCTTGACAAAGAACTTGTTTACAGGTCCAATGTTAAAAGAATAAGAGAAAGACCTCAACTTTTGCAAATGAAGCAAAATTCTGGGGAAGTGTTTCCTAGACATATCTTCTGCATGGAAAAATAAGTGGCGAACTCTTTCAGAAACCACGAAAGCATTGGGTTTCACATTTAAGCATTCTGCACCTGCTACTGACTGTGCAAGATCATGCACAAGATTGTGTATCTTACAAGCCAATATTTCTCCATCAAAAGCTTGTACCACATCTAGGAAGCAAAACCTTGATAGCAACTCATCAAAGTACTGATTACCGATATCTTCCAACTTCCTGTTTCTGTTTGAACTCTGTATAAATCCTTGAGCAATCCACCGATTGATAAAATCCTCCCTCGGAATTTCTTGACCTTTGGATAACATGGAGCAATAGGCAAAGCACTGTCTTAGATGTGATGGCATCTGTTCATAGCTCAATCTCAATATTGGTAAGATGTCAGATTTATTCTGTTCGATCTCCCATATCTCATTATCTCTTATTTGCAACCATTCATTCTCGTCTGTTTTCATGTACAACAACCTTCCCAAGGTTTTCACAGCCAAAGGCACTCCTCCACACTTTTTCACAATTTCTTTTCCTATTTCTACTAGATTAGGAAACAAATTGTCCTGTCCTCCAAATGCACATTTCAAAAATAAAGATAAGCATTCATCATCAGCAAGGCCTCCCAAATAATAAGGCGGAACTGTTCCAGTAATCAAAGCAACCATCTTACTACGTGTAGTGACAACAATTTTACTACCTCTGGAACAATTCATCAGCAACTCCCTCAGATCCGTCCACTTGTGTTGATCTTCATTCCACACATCATCCAGCACAAGTAAATACCTTTTCTGTTGCAACACCTCTCCCAAACAACCTTGTAATTGGTCCATATCTAGGTGGTCAAAACTCTCTCCTGTTGCGGACCTCAGAATTTTCTCAATTACCTTGCTCAGATTAAAATCTTCTGAAATACTAACCCACATTCTAAGGTCAAAATTCTGAACAACCCTATTATTGTTATAAACCAACTTAACAAGTGTGGTTTTTCCAAGCCCTCCAAGTCCAACAATAGGAATCACAGAAATATTTTCCTCATCATGAGAATCTATCAGCTGTTTTACAATGTTTTCTTGATCATCATCTCTACCAATGATATCTGATGCCCTCACAAAGGAGTGTGTTTGTTCTCTACTCGTATTCTCAGCTGGAATTACAAACGTATGTTCCGTGAAGTGGAAATTTCTCCTATCATCTGCAATCTCATTCAGTAGCTCCCTGATTTCTTTTACCTTTCTGCCAATCTTGAATCGATATATAATTGGATTTGAACTTGAAAAGAATTTTCTTACCTTCTTCCTAAAGCTTTTCTGGAAATGCATTTGCAGCAACAGTTGTGTTGATAAATCATCCATCAAATCATCGACATCATAAACAACATCTCTGAGCTTTTCCAGCCAATCTCTCACTTCATGGTTCTTTGCCTGTTGCTCGTTTGCATCTAGAAGTACAGCTTTGATGGTGGATAGAGTACTTTGGAGTTTCCTTAGCTCTATCTTAACATTCCAAGCTAGAGTGATCTCATATACAGCAATTGAAGAAACTTTAGCCAAAACTCGTTCAATGATATTGAACAAGAAAGATTCCGCCATCGATACTAAGAGTAGGATCTACATTCTCCAAGTCAACACCTCTTTGAAAAGTCATGCAGGCTTTGATAAAAGGATTGTGAACCACAAACAACTAACAGAGACAACATTTTAAGACTACTGTCTTTACTTTTGCAACTGTATAATTTCCGGTAATAAGAAAAAAGTAAATCTAGATTAATGATGGGAGACTATCTATCTTGGTTGGGAGATCAGATCAATCCCGTAGGTGGTCTGTAGGTTAATCTTAGTTTTGGGCCAAGTGAGGAGTATGATTCAACTAAGGAAAATATGTGATGATGAACAAAGGGTTGACTCAGAAATTTATTAACCAGAAAGTGGTGCCGTCCACTCTTGCAAATTAAATAGCTTCATGTGTCACATGGATAGAGTTTTAAGTTATGTACACCGTCCAATATAAAGAATTGTCACACCTATAAATTATGAGTTTTAGTAGAATTCAGGTCATCAATTGATATATATATATATATATATATATATATATATATATATATATATATATTCTGATAATCTTGGAAGAATCAAGAATGTAACCAAAACAGGTAGGACCAGCCTGAGAAGAAAAAAACTATAGTATCTGATTGTCTGGTACCTACCATTTCCACTCATTATTTGGTCCACACAAATAGCAAGAGAGCTAACTAGAAAAGACATCAATATGGACTTACTGGACATACCTATTTTCATTTTTTCTTCTTGCTCGATATAGTAGGGTCCTCCTCCATGAGGTAGTGGGCGTACACTCTACCCTTCCCAGACCCCACTTTGTGGGATTTCAATGGGTATGTTGTTGTTGTTGCTCCTTAGTAGTGTCACACCAGTATGATTCTGGTTAAACGGGGCATTCCTTAGCTGGGAGACTAATGACCAAAGGCTAACACAGCGAGTCAGAATTCAAGATTACTCTTTAGAGCACTCCTTTTCTGATGACATTTGAACAATATTTCCCGATTGAAAATTCTAAAATAGATAATGTTAAGGTTGTTGCCAATTTCTTTAGACTAACTGTTGATGCAATAACTCAATTCGCTTCTCTGATGCTTTTTCCTTCAATTGTTTTAAGTAGTATAGCAACTGTTTCTGCTATAGTTTCAACATACTCTAGCCAGAAACCTTCAAGATGATGATTTTGCCAGGTGAGCCTTTAAGTTGACTCAAATCACATGTACCTAAGGATCACGGATCGCTTAGTAATGAGGTTCCTAAATCATCAAACTTCCCAAAGATGTAGCTTTAACATGTGCCCCTAATGCATTGCAATCTTAGATCAAGCAATGCAAGACCAGATGGAATGATAAGGACTGCAGATGCAAGCAGAATAAAACACACATCTAACCGCCATTTTAGAACCATCATAGCATCATGAATTCCCCACTGAGCAGATAACGTGTAGTCGAATTCATGGAAAGAAATTCTATTAGAATGATAGTCTTGTTTTCCTTCTGTCTTTGGATTTGAGGTGATAGATACACTTTTATTTTCATTTTGATGAAAAAAGACTGAACTTGGTTAAGGTCATAGTGGATGGTTGATGTGTACAGGTTGCATCCCCTGGATGAAAAAAGACTGGACATTTTTTGAAGGAGACTAAAAATTGCAAAGAATGAGTAGTTTATTTGAGCATCCAACAGAACCAGACTGTCAATTTTACTCAAATCACTTGGAATAATTTTCAGTTTTAGTTATTAATCTGTCATACCATTCTCCGTTTCCCTGTTGGAGCGGATATTGTGCGTGCGCATGTATATTCATTGAACACAGAGCAACCTATTGCATTATTTAAGCTTACCATTGTTGGATCTTGAGTTGAATTTTATCTAACCTGTATGAAACCAGTGGGTGCAGTTAATTCAATGATCATAGAGTTTTCTATGTACATAGACTGATACCTTCAGGACTTTTTCTACATACAATCGTTAAGTTGTGATATACAAGGTAAACTGGTTTAAGATTGGATGTATCTCTCTTTGATTGCAGCTTCTGTCACCTATGACAACCACATTCATCATACACAGATTCTCATACTAGAGCCACATAATCTGACTAGCTCATTTAGATTTAGACTGAAAAAATGGCATCTCACAGTTTTTTTTTTATGACTATGGTGTCCGGGCCAGCTTTCCAAGGGATACCTGCCACCTCCCATCAGTAACAGATACAAGGTAATGGCATCTCACAGTTCCAAACTAACACAATCATTATTTGGCCACAATAAACTTAGTGAACCTTCTTAGCACAAAGTAGACAATAATGAGACTAGCCAAATCAGTTACTCAAGGCTGCAATCTAGTCGCAGTGCAACCAGAATGCTGCCAACAAGTATCAGAGGCCAAAAAAAGGCAGCCTGGTGCAGTAAGCTCCCGCTATGTGCAGGGTACGAGGATGGGTTAGACCACAAGGGTCAATTGTACGCATCCTTACCCTGCATTTCTGCAAGAGGCTGTTTCCACGGCTCGAACCTGTGAGACTGCAATCACTAATTTAGACAACTAGTAACAGGTCAACCTTATTGCAGCTGCAAACAAATCTGGGCTGTACTTAGTAGGATGTGAAAACTGAAATGTACAATGGTATTCCAGAAAAATGCCCTGTCAAAATGAGGAAAATGACGTCCGACACTTGTAGGTGGAAGTCATTTTCCTTTTACAAATATCCCCACACTTATAAAATTTCACTTGTTATGATCAATACATAAACATCACTATTGACAGTTAACATCCAAAACTATCACCAGAAACATTATCTTTATAACGTGTCCTACACCTTGTACAATCAGCTTATGCCATGTATTTGTTTTGCCATCCAATCAAACACGGAATAATCAATTTCCTAAGGGAGAACAATATTTTCCGTGAAAAACATTTTCCTCCATATGGGACGCACACCAGAATCTCAAATTGCAATATGTATTATAGCCATTCAATGCACCACCAAAGCAGAATTATGGCTGCATTTTACATACATGATGCAGGTGTAACTGCGACAAATGAATTATCTAAGAGGAAATACATAGTAGTATTCTTATCATGTAATCTATTTAGCCCACAAATCATCAAGAACTGAATCATTTTGCTGCCAAAACAGAAATATTTGCAGATAAAGTACTAAAGACATTGGTACTTGAAGCTTCAGCTCTATCAAGCCACTGTGACCTGAAAAACCATATTCTTCTAAAACAGATGCCAAAACTTACTGTAAATGATATTTATCCATAAATTTACAAAATCTGTAAGAAGCAAGCAACAATTCACAAACAAAGGAGAAGATGATGTTTCTGTACAATATAACTCAACCAACATGAAAAGGACCAATATCACCAGTTCGAAAAGAGGCAGCAACCTCATCAGCAATAGTCAAGCAAGAGACTACCCAACCACTCAATGCCATCCACACCATCTTAGCCATCCACAGTGTTGTACTCCATGGAACCGCCATGATCCAAGATTCAGCAAACCCAAAAAAGCAATCACCTTTCTACACCAAAACCATTTATAGAAAACCCCAAATCCTCACTTCATCAAATAAATTTGACCCAAAAAGCAATCACCTTTCTACATCAAACCCATTCATAGAAAACCCCAAATCCTCACTTCATCAAATAAATTTGACCCAAAAAGCAATCACCTTTCTACACCAAACCCATTCATAGAAAACCCCAAATCCTCACTTCATCAAATAAATTTAACCCAAAAAGCAATCACCTTTCCCCACCAAATCCATATATAGAAAACCCCAAATCCTCAGTTCATACCCAAAAGGGATCCAAGATTTGTCCTTGACCAACCACCAAACTTTCAAAACAGGTTTCTGCTTCAACAGCTGCAAAGAAGTTCATACATAAGACAAAAAGTGGGAATCAAGATCCTGTGAAAATCCTTTGATTTCACAAAAGGGGTATCAATCATATTATTCACTGACTTACCGTTTAAAGAATGACATTTTTTGTGATATGGATTTGTTAACCATTTGTAAGCCTAGTGCTGTCGGCAAAAGACAAGTGTCTGCACCTAAATAGCTAAATTTCCAGTTTGGCCCCTATTTTTTGGTATTCGATATGGTATAATTGGTATTTAGAAACAATATGTCGAGATATCGAATACGAGTTATTGGCTAAAATCATTTCTCAACTATGACTCAAATTTAATATATATCCTTATATTATCTAAGTGAGCAAAAAAACATTTTTATACTATCCAAAAAATAACAAGAATCATCCTTCAATCTATTTTTGTTAAAAAACTTATTGAACCAATAATAAAAAAATTAATTTGGTCATATCTTGGCCACGATGAGAAGATCAAAGTTACCTAAAAAGAATAAGGATATGGATAGGAAATGAATCTTTCATTCTCGAAATTTAAATTTTGTGTGTTGTTAGTTTATATGTTTTTTGCATCATCAAGTAAATTAACTTGCAACAATACATAAGTTTTGAAATATTTATACTGTAGGTTCCGACTTCCGATGGTTAGAAAGATTATGTAAAAAAAATTAATTTTAAAAATATTATGTCCAACTATTTAGAGATTTACTTTAATAAAATATTTAGGGTGTATGTACTATATATTCAGTGCAGTTTACATTTTCTACAATGTACAGAAATGCTGAAAATTTAGTGAAATTACGTAGGCGTTTAGTTATGAAAATAAAAAAATAATTACTTTATTCGAAAATTTTGAAGTTGGAGTAGTATTTGGCCATATTTTTACAAAGAATATTTAGAATTTGAATATATTTTGTCTGAATATGATTTAAATCCTTAATTTCTACAAATTAAAAACCACTCATGTGTACATATATTCATTCGACTTGACACATTTTTTGTTGATGGTGTGAATTTCTTAAAAATATAGACAGAAGGATGAATCTTGCAACCTTTTGGATAGTTCAAGGATGTTTTTTGTTCACTTATATAACACAAAGATGTACTTTAAGTTTATGTCATACTTCAGGAATGATTTTAGCCAAAAACTCTACCGAATACCATATTGAAGTATATAGTTACATAAATAACACGCACGCACATATATATAATTAAAATACTAACAAATATGCAACCTAGTATTAGTATATACTAAATGCTTAGAAGTTGAAACTTTGACTACTCTATTTTGATGGAAATGTATTCGAAATTTAATTGATCGACAAAAGGAGTTGTTTGTATTTTATTTTGAATATATTTCTATATGTGTAATGTGTTATTTTGATGGAAATGTATTCGAAATTTAATTGATCAACAAAAGGAGTTGTTTGTATTTTATTTTGAATATATCTTTCTACATGTATAATGTGTTAGTATGATACAATTGAGATTTTTTTAAATTGTCAAAGTCATAATACTCTATTATACGAGTATATATTAGTCGAAGTTGCACAAACTATGGTTATTGATTTACCATACCGTAAAAAATCGAAACCGAACTTCAAATACCAAACCATACCGAATTGAATTGGTATGGTAATGATATCATGTTTTAAAAATCGAATACCGAAATTTCAGTATCAAACCTTTAAAATACCATACCAAACCATGCCCACCCCTAGGGCCCTCCTACTTTGAATGTGCATAAATAGACACTTAACTCTGTATAAAATTGAACAATCCTACGTGACATAATACACGTAAGACCACAAATTGTCATATAGGATGCCACATAGGACGTGTGTGTCTACTTGTTCAATTATATACAAATTTAAGTGTTTACTTATGCACACCAAAAGTCGGAGGACACAGTTGAGGCTAAGTCAAAAGACATTTTTATGTATTATGCCAATACAATAATAGCAAAAACTATACTAGCTCAAAAAAGTAAAGGTTAATTGACTGCAGGGTCACAAGACATCTTGTAAAGTAGTACATTTTAGGCTAACAATTACAATTCAAGAGCACATGAATGATAGCACATAAAATGGCTCTTCTACTGCCTGGAAATAAAGTACTTTACAAAAGGCAAAAAATGTCATTTGGTTTAACAGTTGAATCTTTATATCTCTACAAGTTTATGGATGAGTATGTTGATTACTGGCGAACATCAGTACGCATTTTATAACGCTTTGCCAATAGCGTAGCAGTTCCACTGTTAAAGACATGTTGAACGAGTTCATACTTATTGTAGATTGCATTCAGGGACCCTCACTGCTCTTTAGCTAGTTGTTCTTCTTCCTCCAATTGACGCTACGTGAAGAGAAGGAACCATTTAGGACAACAATGTATTATAACCATGAAATCAATTTTATGAGCAAATATTCACCTTGAGCAAGAAATTGGCTTCTTTTACATGTTTCCTAACTGTACGCTTCATTTTCGTGGCCACTTCAAAATCAGGTTCATTGGATTTCAACCAGTAGCACATTATCATCCTATCAGGTTTCCTTGGGCGATCATCAAACATCTCAACTACAGCAGGACGTGCCCTAACAGGTCTTGGCATGCCCGAGATCATGAAAGGGGAATTTCGTATCTCAGAGATGATTGTTCTTGCCTCATCTGCATTCTGCATCTCAACTAAAGCAGCTCATCCCATCCCTTTTAGTTCAAGGTAGGTTTGGATTAACTTGACCTGAATGACATTTCCGAACTGATCAAGTGCAGCTTTGATAACAGACTCCTTAACCAAAGGTGAAAGATTGTCAATATAGACGCTACGTTTCACTTTATTCTCAAGGGCAGCATACTCCTCTTCAAATACAGCTTCCATGAGATGTAGAAAGTAAATTTCCCCAAAATACAAGCAATTCACCAACACCTTCAGAAAAAAACAATTATCAGGGTTCCATGATGCCACAGAAAATCATCCAAATGCAAGTGAAGCAAATTAACCATCTCACTGTAAACAGCTATCAGCTCGAAACTTAATCAAATTATCATCCCTCAGACTACCACATCAGTCGAACAACGACATTACTAAATGAAATATCATCTTGACAAACAATTTGCCAACTCGCGGGAGGATTATACCATAATGAACAAAATAATGTCAATATTTATTCATTAACAGAAAGGGGAAAGACAGTTCCAACATAAAAGCTTGACTATCAGAACTCACCTTTCCATGAATTTCTGATAGTACAACAACACATACCCAGTATAATCCCACAAGTGGTGTCTAGATCGGCCAGAGTGTACATAGACCTTACCCCTACCTCGCAAATAAATAGACACTATTTTCGAGAATTTCTGATATATAGTAATCTTACTAATACTCTGTATTCCCCAAATAACTATAACAATGTGATTTGGCTACTGTGCTACTAGCCTGCATTGAATCTTAACAAAAGAATGAGACTTTTCCAATCAAACCAAATTTTCTTAAGCCAACTGTTTTCATGTTTCCTTCAACTAATGCCATTACAACCTCAAGAAGCATAGCATAGCAAAACTCGAAAAAAATAAAATAATCACAGAAGAAGAAGAATCAAATTATCTGGATTAACCAAAATGGGAATATTAACATCTTGGTCTTTCTTCTATCCCAATCTATGATCCAACCTAACCTAGCTTACAAATATAACGAAATCTCAAAATCAGCAATTATTGTATTCACATTGAGAGAAAACCCCCGAAAATTTCAGATTATTATGGTGATTTGTGAAATATCTATCCGATCCGAACAAGAAAACACACAACAAACGTAAAATCAATCGAATTGTTATCACATTTCAATCAATAAAGAAAAATGTATTGAGTAGTAAATTGAATGGAAAAGGGCTTTGGGTTTCGCCATTTTACCTTTGGATACAAGAAAATTGCTTCTTCATAACTGCTACTGTCTGTTTGAGCTTCCATTTGAAATTCACACTGTGCACCTATCCTCTTCGTGTGAATTGGAGAATACAGTGTAATTACGCGAAAGCCAAATCCAATTACCAGGGTGGCTTTCCAAACAAGCCCTTACTATTCTTTTACACCTGACCAAACAACTCACCTTCTATAATTCTTACCAAGTAGTGAAAGAATTTGCCACAGTCTAACTTGGTTAAATTCATTCTTCCACAAAGACCTTATATTTCTGGGAATAGATGAAGTACATATTTCAGACTAGATAACAAATACAACCATCAAAGAACTTATTCATGCTACTCTACTTCTATGTTGTTCAGGCTCTCCAAAGCATCTGTGTAGGATCTCAAGAACAGAACCAATTCTGGAGGATCCAACTTTAGTGGCAAGTCCAGACAACATATCTCTACTCTGTAATAATATAAAAAAGAGACGACCAATACAAGGAATACAAATACTATTTCCTTGAGCTTCAACCAAAACAATAGGATATAGAATAATAAAACATCACAATTATATTGTCTTAAGCTTAAACCAACAATATTCCATAAATTCTAACAATTGTTTTTCCTCCCTTTTACATTTACACTATAGACTTAAGATAATCCACTTTCAATTACTAACAACATTGACAACAGCAAAGCTAAAGCTTGACCCCAGCCAAAATGATGCACACACCTCACATATTACTCTATGTCCCGACCTTCCTTCACCTACATAAAAGCACAAGAGTTAATAACTTGCAGATGCTGAAATTTAGTCATTAATTCTTTAAAGTTATGAAACTTGAAGAAAAGTAAAAAGGAATGCATAGCCGATCTCATTACCCTTGGCCTAACGATCGGGAAATCCAAAGATTGATCTAGATGCCGCACCACCTTAGCTTGAAAATATTCCTTCTCGCCATTCGTAACCGTAAAGGTAATAAAGAAATTGATGTCTTTACAGCCAGATCCATTAACCTTGAGAATATCCTTGACCTCATATTTAGTGTCCTAAAATGAATCCACAGAAACTTTCTCAGCTTTCTAGAGAAAACAAGGAAAAAGAACAACTAGAAAGACAATGGGAAGTGTGACTAGAGCATACATTTTTCTCATTGTACTGCCCAAGTGCCTCTCCAGCATAACCCTTCAACATTTCAAAATTAGCAGGACCTTTTAAAAAGTTGGGGTGTACGGTAGCCAATCGACAGAAACCAGGATAATCTCTAATGTCAAATCCCTATCAAAGTACAAGTCACATATATAAATTAGACCAAAATTATACAATAAAAAGCGAAAAGAAAGACACATGTATATATAAATATAAAGCTGGAAAAACAATCTGATGTGCGGAATGCTCCAATTTTTTCTCAAACTTTTGGCCAGCTCCCCTTTTTCTTCTATTAGGGCCTAAAGATGGTAACAGTTGAAAGCCGAAAACAATTGAAGCAGAAAAGTTGAGCATTTAAACCTCACGCTTGGCATCCAAATGACAACTTCCAAAAAAGCACGACGAAGTTATGCTAGAAAACATGAGCAGGCATATTATAAACTCTTTTCTTGAAGTCCTTAAGTTAGGAATGTTTTACTATATATCCATTAATGTCTTTCCTCACTATCTTTCCTAAACCCCTTTTGAGTTCCTTTAACTATCATAGTCTTGCCAGCAGCCAAGTTTCATTGAAAATCCAGCTAAGACATAACAAATTATAGAGTTAGCCAGTTGAATAAGATACTATTTTACCTAATGGAGAGATGAGACCGGATATTGAAACATGAAATGTCATGTTACAAATAAGAATATATGCAGGAGGTAATTTGGAGAAAGACCAGACCACAAAGAATCTACTGTTTCTACCGCTTGAACTTAACTTGTGATGAATGTAATAGTCCAATATTTGCATATATTATTTTTGTACATATTTGTGATAATTGTGAATTGAGAATCTAGTGTAATGGAGGGTTGAAGATAAGGAGGAAAGTGAACAATCAGTGAAAAACAGAACAGAAGCCAACAACAGGAGTGAAAAACAGGGAATAGCAACAAACAGAAGTTAGCGATGGAGCGAAAAGACGATACCTCACTCTCACGGACCTGTTGGAAGTACCTCTTCCAAAACTCTCTATCCTTTTTTTCCTCACCAGGAAGGATAGGGGTATACAATTCTTCAATTAATTCTTCTATACTCGGGTTGTCATAGCTGTCATCCGATCGAGGAGATAGTGGCTCAGAACATACAGAGTCACTATCTTCCTCATCCACCCATTCTTCTCCCGATTCTTCATCTTCATCCAATTCTTCATCCGATTCATCTACATTTTCCAAATCCGATTCGTTTCTGCTCTCATCTTCTGATGTTACCAACGGTTGTGGTGGTGGCAGGAGCAGCAGCTGTGGAGGTGGAGATGGCAGCAGCGATGGCGGTGGAGACATGACCACGAATTGACAAAACCCCAAAACTAAACTTTTGGTTTCTTATACGTAATTACCCTATTTATATAGTTTTTGACGATCCTTTTCCCACTCCAACTTTACTTTCAAAATTAAATTCACAATATTTTAACTTGACGTATATTTATTAAAAGAGTAACTTTCACATATAGTCACTTAAAAATAGTGTATTTACTCTCTATAGTTATATTTTGATTATTACAATTCGTAGTTACAATGTTATATTTAAAGAGAAAAATTACGCGGTTAAGCAAACTTATATCACTTAATTACTTATCATAATTATAGTTTGCTATAATTACCACTTGCGACTAACATTCTACATTAATTATGTGGGATGACTTGGAGTTTGTATAATTAGTCATGTTTGTATATGTATAATTTGCCAGAATATATAAATACATATGTATAATAAATAATTATCTAACCGATATACATATACAATTCATCTCTCTCCCACTCTCTGCCCTCTCTCGCTCACCTCTCTCCTCCCTCTCCCAATCTCGCTCGTCTCTCTCCTCTCTCTCTCAATCTCGTTTGCCATATATACAAATGCATATGTATAATATACAATTATCTAACCGATATACATATAAAATCACCTCTCTCCCACTCTCTGCCCTCTGTCCTCCCTCTCCCAATCTCGCTCGCCTCTCTCCCACTCTATGCCCTCTCTCGCTCACCTCTCTTCTCCCTCTCCCAATCTCTCTCGCCTCTCTCCTCCCTCTCATAATCTCGCTTGCCATATATACAAATGCATATGTATAATATACAATTATCTAACCGATATACATATAAAATTCACCTCTTTCCCAGTCTCTGCCCTCTCTCGCTCACCTCTCTCCTCCCTCTCCCAGTCTCGCTCACCTCTCTCCCCCTCTCCCAATCTCGCTTGCCATATATACAAATACATATGTATAATATACAATTGTCTAACCGATATACATATACAATTCACCTCTCTCCCACTCTTTGCCCTCTTTCGCTCGCCTCTCTCCTCTCTCTCCAGTCTCGCTCGCCTCTCTCCTCCCTATGACATGTAGCTACGAATTGTAATTATCAAACTATAGTTATGGAGAGTAATTAGGCTATTTTTGAGTGTCTATAAGTGAAAGTTCCTCAATAATAAATAATAAGTTATGCTGGATTATTTCTTAGTAATTATTTAAATTGTTGTATTCAAAATAATATGCATTGCCTAATTTATAATAATAAGTTGTTTATTTAAAAAAGAGGAAATACATAATTACCCCATGGAACTTATACCCTTTTTTTAAGTAGACACCTTATGTTTTCGGGGGTCCTATTACCCCACGAAACTATCCAAAAGCACAATAAATACATCATTTTTTCAACATCAGTGCTCTCAATCCAAGAGCGTGTGCCACACCTCCAACCCATTTAACAAAGGCCGGGTTTTATCCTAACCCATTCATTTTTTAACCCATAACCCAAACCCAAACCCAAAGAAACTTCCAACCCATTTCACTCTCACCTTCCCTCGTCTCTCCCTCTTCAACCGATCAAAACCCTAAGAAATTTCATGAGGCAAAGCTAGTTGGTAACATTGCTTGTTGAAATTTGTTGAATATTGGTGGCGGAACGAAGAAGTGAAGACTCATAGGTTAGTTTATTTTACATTGTAAGTGAATTTTGTAGTGATTAGTCGTTAGTTTATTTATATTGTTTGATGCGTATTTCGTTTGTCGTCATGTTGTTGTTGTGTATATTACTCATATATATTATTGGGAAGTTGGCCTGTTGCAGTTGATGTGTATTTCTTTGTTGGGTTGTTGTTGTTGTTGTTATTGGGTTGTTGTTGTTGAATATTGTTGTAACTTTCATTGATTCAGTGTTTCTGAGATCTGTTTGTAATTGTGTTTTCAGGATTTCTTACAATGTCATTTGTTCTTATAACTTTGAGATGGTATCATGGGGGAAAAATTGTGTTTGGTCCCCCATCTGATTATGTTGGTGGGTCTGTGACTGAATTCTTGGAAGTAGACACTGATCGAATGTCTTATTTTGAACTGAAAGGCTACATAAAGGACTTAGGATATACAACAGATTGTTCCTTTTTTATTAGATCTCCAATCGATGGCTTTTTGGTTGAAGTTAAAAGTGATAAGGTTATTTGTGACATTTCCTCTATGTTTAAAAATGGGGATAGAATGGATGTTTATGTCTGTCATGAGGTTAATGAGCCAGAAATTGCTCCATTGGCTTTGGATTATGTCCCCCATGTGATGGACAGTGGTGTAGGTGGGGTAGGTGGGGAATCTTTTACATCTTTTAATGAAATTGAGTCTCCTGTTGAACCTTCTAGTCCTCATTCTGAACATTTCAACCCTTCATCTCAACCTTCTAATCCTCTTGGTGAACCTTCCAACACTTCATCTCAGCCTTCTAATCTTCTTAGTGAACCTTCTAACACTTCTTATCAGCCTTATAATCCTGCTGCTGAACCTTCCAATCTAAGTGTAGAAAGTTCAGATGATGAATCATATGATGAATCAGATAATGAATCAGATGAGAGATCTGAAGTGTATAGTAGTGAAGAGAGTTTAGATAGTGATGTTCATGAAGAGTATAGGGATTTTAGGGCTTCAAGAAGGCATTTCAACAGGTCAAACAGGAGAACTAGAGGCACAACTACAGAACAGATTCATACTACTGAAAAGGGCCCAGATATAGGATATAATGAAACAAATGTTGGCAGTAAGGATAGCTTATTAGGTAAGTTAGGGGGTGATGAACCTTACTATCCTAGTGATGAAGCTCCTAGCTTTGAATTAGAAGAAGAAACAGGATGGGGAGATGGTGAAGAGGTTGAACAAATTATTAGAAAGAAGAAAAAAAACAGAGTTATTTTTTATCCAACTTCTGAGAAGATTGTTTAGGAATTAGGTTTGGTGTTTGCAAATGTAAGAGAATTTAGGGAAGCTGTAACCAAATATGCAGTTCAAGAAAAAATTCAAATTGAGAAATATGTGAATGAGCCTGGAAGAGTCAGAGTTAGGTGTTGCAAAAAGGGTTGTCCTTGGTTATTGGTTGCAAGTTTGGATAGCCAAACTACAGATTTTGTGGTTAAAAACTACAACCCTATCCATATTTGTGTGTCTTCAACTCATAACTATTTGTGCAATTCAAGGTTTCTAGCTGTTAGATACAAGGATAGAATAACTGAGCAGCCAAACATCAGAATTATCAAGTTGCAAGAGCTTATTAGAAAAGAATTGGATATTCAAGTTGGAAAGACAATAGTGAGAAGAGCTAGAGCTAGAGTGTTAAAAGAGATTATGGGTGATCATATTGCTGAGTATGGTAGAATTTTTGATTACAGAGATGAGATTTTAAGAACAAATCCAGGTAGTACTTGTATTGTTAAATTTGGAGAAATTGCTGAAACTGGGCATAAAATCTTTGAAGGATTTTATGTGTGCTTTCATGCTTTAAAGAAAGCTTTCTTTGGAGGTACTAGGAGATGCATTGGTCTAGATGGATGTTTTCTCAAAGGAGTGTGCAGAGGTCAATTATTGGTGGCAGTTTGCAAAGATGGAAATAACCAAATGTGGTTTTTGACTCTAGTGAAGAATGATCTTCATCTTGGAGTAGGACATGAACTTACCCTGATTACTGATATGCAAAAGGTATGTCCTTGGTTATTAATGCACATTCATCTTTACTTTTTGATTCACATTAACTCTTTTATATGTTTATTTTCTTTCTTTAATAGGGACTGGAAATTGCAGTGGAAGATTTATTACCACTTGCTGAACACAGGATGTGTGCTAGACATGTCCTTGCAAATTGGTGCAAAAATTGGAAGGGAATAGAGAGAAGAAATGTTTTCTGGAAGATTGCAAAATCTACATTTGAAGCCGAATTGAGGGACCACATAGATGCTATGAAGAAATTGGGAAGTGACTGCTTGGATGGTCTTTTGTACTACAATGTAGAAAGGTGGTGTAAAAAATACTTCAAAGAACATAGCAAATATGACTCGGTTGATAACAATATGGCAGAGAGCTTCAATTCATGGATATTGTCTGCAAGATACAAGACAATCATTATAATGCTGGAAGAGATTAGGATAAAGATGATGAAAAGAATTGGTCAATTACGAGAGTTCTCAAACATATGGGTCACTGATATTTCTCCCATGGCTTTCAAGATTTTACAACAAAACATTAATAAGTCAATGCAGTGTAACATATCATGGAATGGAGAAAGGGGTTTTGAGGTTGTAGACAAAGGCTTTACACATTGTGTAGACCTTGTTAGGCGCACTTGTAGTTGCAGAGCTTGGCAGCTTAAGGGCATACCTTGTCCTCATGGTGTTGCTGCCCTACACTACAAACAATATGAACCAATTCATTATGTGGCCAGCTGTTATCACAAGGAAACCTACCTAAGGACATATGAATATGTTATCCAGTCAATGAACAATATGAATATGTGGCCACCATCTGTTAATCCAAGAGTTCAACCACCAGCAGTTAAACAGTTGCCAGGAAGACCAAGTAAAGCTAGAAGGAAAGAGGCAAATGAAACAAAGAGAACTGGTAAGCTTAGCAAATGTGGAGCTGTTATGACTTGTAGCAATTGCCATACAAAGGGCCACAATAAAAGAGGTTGTCCTATTCCTCCAACTGTTCCAACTCAAACTGCAACAACTTCTACTCAACCACAGGTAAATGTATCAATTGTCATTAATATTTAGTTGAATATATACTAATATGTTGTATTATAATAATCAGGCCAGATCAAATAATGAAAATGGTAGAGGAAGAGGAAGGGCCAAGGGAAGAGGGATGTCTCAAGGAAGCCAGGAGAACACACATGCAATGCCTCAAGGAAGAGGCAGAGGAAGAGGAAGGGCCAAGGGAAGGGGGATGTCTCAAGAAAGCCAGGAGAGCACACAGACAATGCCTCAAGGAAGAGGCAAAGTAAGGAGCGCCAAATGAAGGGGAATGCCTCAA